TTGTTACAGTTTGAGATTGCAATAATGCACAATCTATTTTTCTTTTGTAAGTTGGACACAAGCTTTTCCCGATTTGTAAATTTTACGTTTTGTTTACTAACCATTTTTTGTTGATATTTCCTTAACCATTCTTCTTCAACCATCATCCTCTCCGGAGCAAGAGCATTGTCATTATGTGAATCGTGCAATTCTTCTGGAAATACAATATCAGCCTCAACAATAAAATCTTCCGAGGTGTTATCCGATGTTTTAAGGACTTCTTTAATCGAGCACTCAAACCAATTTTACAATTATACAATTTTTACATTAGTAACGACAGGACTTCTAGAAGATCATGAGGATCTTGTCATGAAGCCCTTTACAATACATTGTTAACTTTTAATAAAAATACAATGTCAGTAGTGAAATAATAATACACCTCTATGCAAAAATATTTAAAAACCATAAAATGTTAAAAACCCAAGATAAAATTTTAAACCAAATAATATACAAAATAAAACAACAACAAAAACAAAAAAAAAAGGCAATTAAAAATAAATCAAGATATTTTCAATTAAAAATATAATTTTATTAAGTTTCTGTTTGAATGAAGCAAAAGTCAGTTGGGTTGAAAAATTAAAATTTGGTAAGACTATTTTGTTTCAGAGATAAGGACCTCGGTAAGAAACAAAAAACGTTCCTCGTTTCCTCGGTCTTTGCTTTTACGACAAAAACGGGCAATAAGACTGTTATTAATTCGAAAATTATATTTGTTTTTAGGTTTCATACAATAAAAATATTGTAATACATTTGGCGACAAATTTTCTTTACGTTTAAACATGAAACATAAAATATTAAAGATATATAGTTGATATACATTTAAAATATTCATTTCTTTAAAAAGTTGTTTCGTGTGAAAAAACCGCTTTTTAAAATTTATTACGCGAGTTGCGTGTTTCTGATGAAGGTAAAGAGATTTTAGCTTGTTCTGTGAGTGCTTCCCCATATAATATTCGCGTAGTTTATATGACAATGTATAAATGAATAATATAATTGTGTTAACTGGTGTTTACTTAATATATTTCTTGCTTTATAGAGAATTCCGATGCATTTAGCAATTTTATTGGACCACTAAAACCACTAAAAGCTTTTGGCCTAAACTAAACGCCATGTATTTATTGTGTTTAGGATGCAACTAATTTTACCTCCTTTGGCTTTGCCGATATCCTACATGGTGGGAATTGTAACCCCTCAGATTATGGAACACTACGGAAACCTTGGTTACACCAGGTCTAATGCGACGCTTGAAATTACAATCTTTATAAGCAGCGCTTGGTATTTCCCCGTAATGTGGTAGTAATCTCTAACTTTATCAATGCCAAGACTTTTGAAGCATATATAACACACTGTTGCTTCAATAATTGAATTTTTTTCAACATCAGTCATAACCACTTCTTTTGCAATTCTAAATGCTGCGTTATTTCTTTCCAATTAGGTTTGAAGGCTAGCTAGAAAACACTTTCTACTGCTTTTTCACCACAGTTCAAAGTTGAAGCTTCTGTAAACCCGCCTCTTCTAACATTCACAAAGTAATAGCTGCAAAATAGTTATTTTACAAACAGTCGAGTTGAACTTTTAGCCGGATTGTTTTGCGCTCCTTCAACTGGAATATTCAGACATTCAAAACCCGCATAGATAACATAAGACACTCGCATTTGCCTGTGATATTTATTAAATTTTAAAATATCGTCTTTGCCCTTTTCCGACATCACTGTGCGCTGCGGTTTTTCTCTTATCCCAAGACAAAATGAGTTTTTAACTAGTCAGCGGTACTGAATGCATGGAGGCACTGCCGACAAGGGTGTTTTGGAGCTTTATAATTGCTATTAAATTAACCCTTCCTGCCAGACATATTGAAATTTCTTTTTTGAATGAGTAAAAGGTCAATATCATTCCTTTTTGTAAAGAGGATATAGACTCTGATCCCATCCAAAAACGTTAACTGAAAGTGTTGGATTTTGACGCAATATCGTCACTGTTACCGGAAATTCAATGTCATCAAAATTTAGCTCTCCTAGATGTAGGCTGCACTTGTTTTTGCAATCCGCGTGCTTTTTCCGAGAATAATCTACAGGGTCTAACGCGCTTAGGAAAGCCTACTCAAATCAGTGGTTATCTTTGTTTTACCATTTACAACGCAACGCTTTGGGATGTAACACGGTATTTTAATATAACTATTCCCTTTGAATGGACTAGATTTTACAAACCCAATATTTACTGATTCGCAACGATTAAGTTGCCAACCTGAACCTTCATTAAAAAATTTTCCTTAAAAGTTCATTAAATTTTGCTGGATTATCATTAATTTTTGCTAAGCAAATCCTTGATATTATGTTTATTTAGGATAGCTGCTACATCTGAGCAAAGGTAAAGAGTCTGTTCTAAAGTTTTAGAAGATTCTTTAAATAGAGTTTTAATTTAAGTGCGTTAGATTGAGGTCTGTGGCCTTTTAGTAGTTCAGCCATATAATTCGCGAGCTGGCTAATATCTTTGCTAAGTTCAAAATTGGGTAATATAATTTCTCAGTTTCATTTTAAAGGAATTCTTTAATTTTAGGAAGGTAGGTGCTAGCCTAGGTGCTGGCTTAGGCGGTCTTAGAGAAGATCTAGGCTGCAAGTAGGTTTAACCAGTGGTTTGCGTTCAGCTGGTTCATGTATGTATTCTTTTACAGCTGATTTGTAATCATCAAATACTGTAATTGATATTTTTATAAAGTCTTATGAAATAATTTTTTTTGTCTAGTTAGCACTCCATTAACTTTTTAGCTCTTCGATTTCTTTTATATGAAGCCTTTGCTATATTGACCTTAACTTCGTGCTATATTTATAGTATCCTTCTGATGTCCCCATTTGCCTTAAATGTTTGTGTAAACATCCTAATATAAATATTTAAAGTGATAATTGTAAAAATGCTTAAGAAGTTTGTCATAACCAACTCTACTATTGTTTGAAATTCTCGCGGTTATACTTGGTGAATGTCAATTTGTGTTTTTTCTGTAAATGTTCTGCTAACTTATAACTAATTAACTAAAATAATCCATTAGTGTAAAGCTTTTTTTTTACCTTGCGACTATTTCTACAAGCAATATAATCTAAAATAACTTCTTCGCCAACAATTTTTGCAAAACGCTTTTGAAGATCACGTCTTTTTTCGTTGTAAATTGTTTTTACATATCTATCGAACTCTTCCTTATACAAATTAGCAATTTCTTTTAATTCTTCCCCTTTTGTTTTTCTTAGTATAATTTTAATATATGTTTTTTCTACTATATAACATAACCATGTTTATCTCAAATTAAAATTTTTGTTAAATTTTTTTTTTATTCAAAGCCAGAGAATAAAAACTGGTTTTGTGTAAAGTGAAAATGAAATTTCAATAGGGCTTCTACAAACGCTGCTAAAATTTTCGATTGCATCAATTTTACATCCCTTCTTAATGAAATATTCAATGTTTTGATTTGAAAATTGAAAAAACATCTAAAGGGTTTGTATATGTAACACCTACCTAAAGAATGTTATTAAAATCTTTTAAATTCCATCTTAATTTTAAGGCTGGAGTCCCCCAGTCCTCTGTATTATTATTTTATTAAATCAGATAAATGGCTAACAACGTCGTTTGCATTAAAAATCGTTTTTTTTATATAGTATACGTTTTTTCCTTTTTTTTTTTATTTTTTAAGTTGATTAAGGTGCCCCAAGAAGTCCTTACGGTCTTATCACAGAGCACCGCGGAAGAGCATTTAATAGGAAGTTCACGCCTCCTTCCCAACCGATGTCGCAAAACTTGCCCAGAGGTGGGGTATGAACCATGGATCTTACGTTTCTGAGGCAAGTGTGCTACCACTGCGCCTCGGCTGCTTTAACCACGGCTGCTTTTCCACTTATTAAAAAAACTTTATCAACCGCTCTCTTTATATATGGAGAGTTATTTGGTGAAAAAAACTTAAAAAAATTGCGTAAAAATAACAGTCAAAAATTTTAAAAACTGGTGGAAAACCTCTCCATGAAATGGCCGCTTGGTAGTATTAAACAAAATGATTTCTAAGTAGGCATTAAAAAGCTCTCCGAGAGGGCTTTAAAAAAAATTTATGAAGCAAAGTGGTCAAGTGGCGTCAAACCACTGAACTAACTTTTTCCCTATGAAAATTGTATCGAAGGAATAATCGTTTAGGAAAATATCCTTTAAGTTCTTGCCTTTTTTTTAATGTTTGAATGCTTACATAAGTTATATACTATGGTGAGGAATAATTTTCGACGAATCGAGATTCACAAGATTTTACTATAGGTTGACGATTTTCTTAAAAAAATCTCGTGATGCTCGATTTTTCGAAAATGAGTTTTTGGTTTATTCCTCGCTATAGTATATAACTTAAGTAAAAAACACATAGTTTTTTCATCACTTTATTATCTAAATCAGTTGTATATGTAACGAAGCCCTCACAGCACCCTAATTCGCTACGACATCCTGTTATATGTTATACCACATATTAAATGTGTACTTATATACTTTGCTAAGTTTTCTAATTTTTTCTATAAAATATCAATCTTATGATGATAAAAAAAGTTAATATGGAAGACAGAAAAAAAATTTAAAACTTATACAAAAATATACAAAATTAACTGGGTGATTAATATACACCTACAATAGGTGTATATTAGTCACGCAGTTAATTTTGTATATTTAATTATAAAACTGTTATTTAGCTATTGTTAAATAAAAAAGTAATTTAATAAAGTTTTTAAAAAAAATTAGAAAAATATTATTTAAATAACATTTATTTTGTATTTAGTTCAATTTGAATAAAAATAATATAAACCTATAAATAACAACTAAGATTTTTTAGATAATGTTATTTGTAAAAAAAAAAAAATTAAGATTCATTATAGACGAATTTGAAACATAAGGGAATTAAAATCTTTTGTAAATCAAGATATTTAAATAAGCTCTCCTTCGTACGAAAAATGCGTTAGTTGTGCTCGATTCTTAAATGCTTGATACAAAAACTAGTTTGTTGCATAAAAATGTTGTTTAAAAAAGTTGTGCGTTTTATAACTTTTATCTTGATGATTGTTGGTGCCGTTTTCAACATTTTAGCAATTGCAGGAAACTCCTGGGAAAATATAAATGTTAATACAAAAATTCAGGATAGATCTTATCATATAGGTTTATGGAAAGTATGCGAAAATTCTATTAGTTCCAAATGCTTTAATAGAGAAAAAACTGGTATAATGTTTAAAAGTTTTCGCGTATTTTTAGTATAAAGAATTTAATAATATCATTTAATGCTATACTTTTGTTACTTTTTGATAAAACTTTGTTATGTTTGATTACATTCGTTATGTTTGATTTCATTAAACTATGTTTATATATATATATATATGTATATATTTATATATACTTTTTCAGACGCGTTGAAAGCAACTCAGGCTTTTATGATCTTGGGGTTTTTGGGTTATTTAACTGCTTTTATTTTTTGTGCATTGCTTCACATTAATAAAAATTTCACTATAAACTTGCTTGGAGTTGTGCTTAATACATCAGGTAAATAGTTTGAAATCTTGAGTATTTAGACATTTTTTAAAATACTTAGCAAATAAGATTTTTTTACTTTGACAGCTCTATGTTTACTTATCGGATTAAGTGTGTATACAAATCAAGTAAGTATTCGTGAGTATAAATACGGCTGGTCTTACATCATTGGATGGATTTCATTTCTTTTAACATTGGTAGCTGGACTCTTATGCTATACAGAACATTTTGAATACCATTCAATAAAATAACTAAAATTTAATACATGAGTGTTGCGAATTACTTAATTTTTATTTTGAAATTTTTATGGAAAGATGCGACCTTTGTATTCTGTGAGCTTCAGTCTTAATTGTTCTTCCTTTATATTTTTGAAGAAATCATTGTAGAGTTGTATTTAACATGGCGAAATAAATAAATAAATAAAAACAGTTTTTTAGATTTAAACGTAATAAATATAATTAGATTCCAACTACTTTTAATATAAAATTATTAAATAATAAAACACATTTTTTTTAAGTAAGAAGGTATTTGTTTTAAACAAAAAAGCTATAGTTTGCATTAGTAAAAAAATAGCTGTGATAATAAATAAAGTTTATAATCTGGCAAAAACAAGACGATATTAATATCGTCTTGCTAAATATATTTGGCTTATCGCTACGCCCCGCAAAGCCCTTCCCGACAAGAAAGGTATATGTGGCCCACATGTGGTCATAGTGCTTTCGTTTGGATTAAAAGTGCAAAAATATATTACAGTTGATGAATGACGTATTTGATGAAGGTTAGTGTGGCCCACTTTTGGAACACATAATGCGATTCGCATAACTATTCAACTTAATGTGGCATAATCTTTAAATAAATACGTGCTAAATTTGATGTGGCTATCATATGGGCCATACATATAAAACTCACACTCTTGCCTCATTTTGAATTTTAAATTTTAACCAATTGTAATAACTCTTTCGCAATGCATTGTAAACTCTCGAATATTCGATGATATCATGTGGCTTACCGCTTCAATTTATAACTGTTGTAAGTATGTTTGAGCGATAAAAATAAATATTTATGAAAGGAAAAGTGTAAATATATAAAATAAAAAACAAAAACCTAGGTGTGTTAAGACTTCTACTTATTGTAATATACAATTTGTTATCATTACTAAATTATGTTTTTTTTTATGTAATTTTATGGGTGATTTAGATTATATAACGGCATATTGTTAAAAGAATATTATTTAAAACTATATTACTTATATTCAGGGTCGTGTCTTATATACAGGGCCTTGGTGGTGTGTGGGGTGTCTTCTCCACACACACCACTGTCGGGGTGTGTGTGGGGTGGACACCCCCTCCTTTCCTAGATTTACAAAATTCTGATGGTTTTTGTCGGAATATTGGAAGATTTGGGACTATGTCGGTTAGAACTGAAATTTGGCTGTAAAGTTAGCTTTTTTCCTTTGCACCCCCTCCCTTCCCAAGTCTTCATTGTTCGGTACGGCCCTGCTTATGTATAAGTATACAATATATATTATAAAAATCTGTTAATGTTTATAATTTTGTAAAAAAAAAAAAAATGTTTGAGCGGTTTTGTAATGAATATATTAGAGAACTATTGTTCTAAATAAACTTTCCATAAAATTTGTACACTTAACGAATGCAAATTTATGGTTATACTTAAACAACATTATAATTTTAAATAGTGCAAATTTCCGCAACCGCTTATAAATTGTATAGTTATGCGTCACTAAATAGTATAGGTAAACAAACACACTTTTTAATTTAGGCGTATTATATTTTCTGCATTAATTTAAATTTTTTGAACTAAAAAAATAGGTTTTAAGAAAAAACCTACCTGGGAAAAATCCCCCCGAAATAATTCCCGAGGAAAATCCCCCCGAAAAAAAATCCCCCAAGAAAAAATACCCCCCAAAAAAATACTTGGTTTCAAATTAAAAAAATATATATCAAAGCTTTTGTTTGTTAAGTATTTATCTAAAACCAAATAAATTGCAACATTAACAAGATAGAATCGGGAATTGCAACTTTCATATTTTGCATATTATAGTTTTATGGTTTAAGGTACATAAAGTTATTTTTGTGATGATTAATTACCGTAGTACATTCTTACAAGTTTGGTTAAGTTACTTTAAAATCTCGTTCTTAAATAAATTAAATGAACTTTATAAAGTTTAAAATTGTTGGTGTACGCTTTTAAGATTTTATAAACCCACAAGCGAAAATGTTTTTAAAACATCAATATATAATTTTTAACCGTCGTTAAGAAATCTCTTACAAATTTGCGTGTGAAAATCAAAACCTATTCAGTCAGGCATAATTTCATATAACTCGTTGTAATTTTAACGCAAAGCACTCTGGGATATCCTGCCGGACCTCATAGTTTTACAATATTAAGTAGCGAATAGTTATTTTTGTATGTACTTAAAAGAATTTTTATCTTAGTTATAACAATGCCATGATTTTGTGCTGCTATAAACTTTGGAAATAAGAGTGGAAAAAACTGTTAAGATATTTCATTTTTTCGTTTTCCTAAAGACGAAAAAAGGCAAGTTAATTCATATATTATTTATAATAACTTTTATTTCATAAAAAGTTAATAAAATTATTATTGTAGTATTTTAAAACATTCTTTTATTGTTTAATTTTTAGATGTAAACAGTGGGTCATCAACTGTCGTAGGAAAGATTTAGACAAAAAAGATTTTGTATTTTTAAACAAAAACTTTTATTTGTGCAGTAATCATTTTGAAAATACAATGTGTTATTCTACAAATAATGGTGGAAAACGTTTGTTACAATCAGCAATTCCTACTATTTTTAACATCCCAAATCCTCCTCCACTTCTTGGTTGCAAAAGGAAACCACCAGTTGAACGTCATTCAGTTCCAGCAAAAAAAGCAAGTTGTTTGTTTACCTGTTAATTCAGATAGTAATTTAGAGAACAAAATGTCTACTAATAAAATAAATTTCAACAAACTTCAAAGGTTACTATTAACATTGCGAGTCAAAGTTTCTAGACTATGTAAACAAGTTCGACATTTAAAATTCAAACAAAAAACCCAAAAAAACTGTGATGGGTCTATAAAACATATTTTAAATTTATCCAGGAAATACTTATCACCTATACAAGTTAGTTTTTTTAAAAGTCAATTAGAAATGAGTAAACGAGTCAATAAAGGAAAACGCTGGGCAGTTTGTGACAAAGTTTTGGCTTTGCGAATTCTGTTTCATAGTCCTCAAACTTTCAATGTCTTGCGAACAATATTCTGTTTACCAAGTCATACCTGTTTATTATTATTTTTGTCCCGTGTATTTTCAGATTTTCAAGAAGGATTTTCTACACGATTGTTTTCTTTATTAAAGTTACGTGCTGATGCAATGAATCCGCTTGATCGTAATGTCAGTCTTATTATGGATGAAATGTCATTAAAACAGCATTCAGAGTATGATAGAAATTCTGACAGGGTTTACGGTATGAAAAATGGAAAACTTTAAATCAGGCTCTTGTAATTATGGTTTGAGGCTTGGCAAATAAATGGAAACAACCAATAGCTTACTTTTATAATAATTCAACAATAGCAACAGCTGACTTGGCTTCTTTACTACCTGAAACCATTTCTAAGGTTCAAGAAACTGCTTTACACATTAGATGTGTAGTTTGTGATCAAGGATCTACTAATATAGCTGCCTTACGTTTGCTTGGGTTTTCCAATAATTTACCATACTTTCCTAATCCTTCCAATAATAAAAATATGTTATTTTTGATCCTCCGCATTTAGTAAAAAGTATCAGAAACAATTTGCGAAGACACAACATTGACATTAATGGTAAAATAGTTTCTTGGCAACACATCCAGTCTCTTTACAGTTTAGACAAAATAAACTCTGTGCGTCTAGCGCCAAAACTAACAGGTAGACACTTAGACCCTGGTCCTTTTTTTATTTATGAAGGTCAAACTTGCCACTCAAGTTTTTAGTTATCAGGTTGCTTCTGCATTGTATTGCTGCTCTAATACAAATTCACTTCCTTTAAGTGTATTACCAACAGCAAGATTTGTTGAACGCATGGATACTTTATTCGGTATATTGAATTCATATATATGCAGATAAACCAGCTCGATGTGCTCTAACTTTAAAAGGAGCCAGTATTTCTCAGTTGGAAGAGTTAAAGCATTGGATTGAGAAATGGAAATTTTGTAATGTTAGAAGTCAAGCAAGTATATCATGCCATTGGGGTTTAAGTGTCACAATTAATAGTGTTCTAACCTTAAGTAGAGAGCTATTTTCTGAAGGTTTTCAATTTGTTTGTACTTCTCGTTTTAGTCAGGACTGCATTGAAAAATTTTTTTCATTGCAGTCAAATTTTTATGTCACTAGTTTGTAAAATGGAAACAACTTTTTCAAAATTAATTCATAAATATCTCAAGAGATGGACTCGCCATGATTCTCATAAATAAAATTAAAAAAAATGTCATTTTCAGTTTTTGCACAATCAACATAAAAAACATGCGCTTTATATGGAAAAAAACATTGTTCTGTTTTTTGTTATTACAAGAATTTTTTATTTCATAAAATTTTTAAACAGAGACATAAACCCACACAATAAGTCAAATGCAAAAAAAATTGCACGTGTTCTTCATAATTAATATATTATGATACTATTTTTTCAATTTTTTTTTAATAAGATGCACTAATAACTTTAAAAAAAATTATGTTGTTTATTACAAGAATTTTTTAGTTCATAAAATCCACCCAAAAAGTCCAAAAAAATAATATTGCTTCCAAATTGCAATTACAAAAATTCACGTATTGCCCTTTGGTATATTACTATATTATTTTTTCAATTTAATCTTTGTAATGAGACTTTGTTATGTTATAATGTATATAAATAACTTTTGTTAATTTATAATAATAATAACTTTTATGTATAATAATATACTTTTATGTTATAAAAAAATTACACTAACTTTATGTTCTACAAAACTCTTTTTGTTCTACAAAACGTTTTTTTCCCCATTATTTTATTCTTATTGAAACATTCTAATGGTAATCTTAACAAAATTGATGTATCTTAATGTTACAAATTGAGATATCTTGAATACAAAATTGAGATATTTACAAATATCACATAAAACAAAGATGCAAAGTTTATTTTAAAAAAAAATATATTTGTGTTAGTTGCGGAAGAAGTCCGGCAGGACATCCCAGAATGCAATTTCGATCAATTAACATGAGTTTCGCGAAGTGGATAGGCTTTGGTATATACTCCGATTTAGAAATTGTATATTTGTTTTTTAGTGATGGGGAAATCATGATTATTACGAGGGTTGGTCATAAGGTGTTTTTTAAAGCCAGATTTCTCAAATCTGGTTTGTTTTTTTATCGTTTGGCTTGGAACTTTTGTTTTTGTTTAT